TCCATTAATTTTGGTTTTCTTCTTTCTTCTTGACGAGGAGAGACCCATTGTTGCATCTAGATGGCAGCTTGCTAGCTTTTAAGATCCCAGTCACTACTCGTCAAAGTAGGAGGTGGAACAATGTTTTGTATAGTATGTCGAACTTGTTCTTGAGTAGCTAAAATGAATGGAAGAAATGATGAAGTAAAAAAGCTGAACAGATTTCAAAGGGTGGCTCAAGAAGACAAAGTATTATAATGAAATGTGCAAAGACCTGAAGTTGGAAAACTCAAAAGGAAGAACACACTTGGCATTTCTCAGACTGAACACACTGAAGAAAAAATTCAAGCCTCGAGTTGCGACATTAGCAAGAATGGCCAGACTTCATCTCTAACACTTTGGTCATGTTATCAGAAGAGACCAGTCCCTGGAGAAGGACATCATATTAGGTAGAGTGTTAGAAAAAAGGAGAAGACCCCCAACAAGATGGATCACAAGGCTATGATGGTGAGCTCAAGGATGGCAGTGATTTTGAGGATGGTGCAGGACCTTTCTAGTGTACAAAGCGTTGCTATGAGTTGACGGAACCTGAGAACAACAACATGGACAAAATATTGCACGACACAGGAAAAATCAAAAGATGGAAGGAATATACAGAGTCACTGCACCAAAAAGAATTGGTTGACATTCAGCCATTTCAGGAGGTGGCATATGATTAAGAACTGCTGGTATTGAAGGAACACGTCCAAGCTGCACTAAAGGCATTGGTGTAAAATAAGAATCCAGGAATTGACAGAATACCCATTGAGAAGTTTGCACAAACATGCAACATTGGAAGCACTCACTCATCCATGCCAAGAAATTTGGAAAATAGCTAAGCTACCTGGCCAACTGACTGAAAGACATCCTTATCTGTGCCCATTCCAAAGAGAGGTGATTCAACAGAATACAGAAATTATTGAACAGTATCATTAATATCACACTTAAGTAAAATTTTACTGAAGATAATTCAAAAACAGATGCAGCAGTATATTAACTGGCAACTTCCAGAAATGCAAGCTGGATTCAGAAGACGATGTGGAAAAAGGGATACCATTGCTGATGTCAGATGGATTTTGGCTGAAAGCAAAGAATACCAGAAAGATGTTTGCTTGTGTTTCATTGACTATGCAAAGGCATTTGACTGTGGATCATAACAAGTCATGGATAACATTGAGTAGAATGGGAATTCCAGCACACTTAACTGTGCTCATGAGAATCCTGTACATAGCAAGGAGACTGTCGTTCAAACAGAACGAGGGGATACTGCATGGTTTAAAATCAGGAAGAGTGTGCGTCAGGATTGTATCCTTTCACCATACTTTTTCAAACTGCATCCTGAGTAAATAATCCAAGAACCTGGAGTATATGAAGAAGAATATGGCCTCAGGATTGCAGGAAGACTTGTTAACAACCTACAATATGCAGATGACACAACTTTGCTTGCTGAAAGTGAGGAGGACTTGAAGCATCTACTGATGAAGATCAAAGACTACAGTCTGCAGTATGGATCACACCTCAACATAAAGAAAACAAAAATCTTCACAACTAGACCAGTAAGCAACATCACGATAAATGGGGAAAAGATTGGAGTTGTCAGGGATTTAATTTTATTTGAATCCACAGTCAACATCCACGGAAGCAACAGTCAAAAAATCAGACATTTTATTGCACTGGGCATATCTGCTGCAAAAGACCTCTTTAAGGTGTTAAGAAGCAAAGATATCACTTTGAAGACTAAAGTGTGTGTAATGGCCCTAATATATGGCATAAATAGACTATCAATAATAACCCAAAATGCACAAACAGCAGAAGAGAAACTAGATGAATAGGACCTTCTAAAAATTAAATTTTTATGTGCTTCCAAAGACTGCCCCAAAAGAGTCAAAAGAGAACCTACAGATTGGGAAAAAATATTCTGCAATGACAAATCTGACAAAAGACTTCTCTCTAGAATTTATAGAAAACATCAACACCTCAGCAACAAAAAGACAAATAATCCAATTAAAAAATGGGCAGAAGACATGAAT